TAGAAACTGTGGCTGTACATGCGATTTTAATAATAGAATAGCTGATTCAAATGGTGTAAAATGAGGCTCTAAACTTATACACTAAAACGTGTCTACGAGTGTAGACAAAACAAAGACGACCTTCTGACTTATTTAATGACGCTTGTGTAGACTGTCTCGTCATGAGTTGCATTTACTTTTCTTCTTTCTGCTTTTCCACCTTTGCCCTTGGTGAAGTTTGGCGCAGAATAGACCAAAGACTGTTCATTTTTCTGAGGAACATATAGAGGAAAATAATGGGCAAGCAGATGTTAATTTAAACTTAAGCAGCAAACACAGTGTTAACATCTTTGGACTTTACCCCTTCATTATGCTGAGCTCCATGTCCTCTGATGGCATCTGTTAAAAAATGGAACAAATTTTCCCATAAAGAATATTAATTCCATAGTTTGCTACTACAAACTACCTTAAAACTGATCTATGAAACTTACCATTGCAGGAAAAACAAGTTTTCTTCTTCGTAATGTAAACCAGGCACAAAATGACAACCAGACATGAAGCCACGGCGACGCATAACGACAGAGTAGTTTTGGACCGCCAAAAATCCCTTAGTTCTGGAAAAAAGTATAAAGCCTAAATATTCTTTTATAAATTTGTGCATTCATTCAATGTTTGAAGCATTTTTCTAAGCATCTCAAGCTTCAAAGAAAGTTTTGTATACACTACTTTGTATTTTAAATTGTGTTTTCCCTTAAGGTTTTTAATTTGTTGTAATTTAGTTATCAACTTTTAACTCATCTCAACTTTCAAAAAAGGTTTCGATACATACCTTGAATTTTCAGTTTAGTTCCATTTCCAAAAACAATTTCTTCATATGTGGCCACAGCGCAGTAATATGTTCCAGCATCAGAGTGGCTGACCATTTTGGAGAACCTATACACACATGTGTGTGCCTCAGGACTCCCATCACAATCTTTTCCACTTTTCCCATCGACATAGATAAGACTGGGATGAGACTCATCTGAGCCAGCTTTGAACCAATGCACTCTGTGATAAGTTGGACAGTTTTTCCTCTTACAGTGAAAGAAAACTGAACACTGTAATGTTACTGACTCTCCTGGACGGAGTGAATCAGGTAGCTGCTCTTGAGTTACAGTAGAGACCTCTGGTTCTGGTCCTAAAAATTTAAAGATTTGACATTTATTGCAAAGCAAAGAGTGCATTGAAATGCATATAATATATAAATATTGAATATATTTACAATATAAATATGTTTATCTACCATTGATCTTGAGAAAAATTCCATTCACGAATATCAGCTTTAGATCAGCTTCAACTTTAATACAGTAGTAAAGTCCAGTGTCGTTCTGCTGAGTTTCTTTAATATGCAGAATAAATGTTCCTTCCTCTTGTTTTGATGTTAGGTGGCGAGTTTTGGTGACCTTGTCATAATCCAAGGTTATTGTTTGTCCAAGAAATTCAGGCCACTTCACGGAAGAAAATTTTACCCAAAACAAACTTTTGGATTGAGTGGATGGTGAGCGAGGACATTTCATTGTTACATTTTCCCTAGCATTAGCAGTTTTTACCACAAAATTGTAACCACTTGTTAGATCTAAAAACAAAAAGGCAAAGAAGTTTTTGACATGTAAAAAATTAATGAAGCACAAAATAACTTTATAAAGAGGTTTAATGTTATATTTTGTACTTACAGCTGCCTCTGAGCAACAGGAGTAAATAAAACATGACCAGCATTTTCATTTAAATCCTCAAAAGGTTGCACAAAAAGAGAGGCATATACTCAATGCTTCAGTCTAATATAATATTGAAAAGTGGGAGGGAACAATGCTGAAAGAATCTGATTGGCTTTTTCTGAACTGTCACTGCCACCACAGTGGAAAATACATCAGCTATGTTTCCAAATAATGTTTACAAAATTATACCTACATCAAGTAATTTATTTTCATGTTGTAATTTAATAATGTTGTTCTTATTGGCAAAATTCAGGTTGTTACTCAATAATAAACAGCAATAACTTTTCATAGTTATTGAAAACAGGCCATGTAGATAAATGGCCAGGTAAGCAATTCAAAGGCACACATAATTTGTGCACAGAATACCTTTTCTGTTGCTTTCATGCATGTGTCATAACTGGAAAGTTTGATCTCCTTTTGTGAAGCAGTCGACTCTGGCTTGATGCTTTTTTTAGGGAAACCAAGTGGCATGCTCCCTGTGGGCTGCATCTCATCCCATTCTCAGTATTTCAGGCATTTGATTTAGTAGGAGGGTCACACAACTAGAGGCTCACCTTGAGTGCCATTCATGTAATGGTGTGTTCACACCGAAAGAGAAACCTAGGGAAAATTTCAGCAGTTGGTTCATCTGCATTTGTTTGCTTTGAAATTCACCTGGTCAGCGAAAGCAATTCACTGTCACATATTTTTTATTTTTTTTTTTTGCATTTGAGGAAGACATTGGAACATCGTAGAGACCCACTGGGTAGCTAAAGTCGGGAGAGGTTGTGGCTGGCCGGTGCTAGCTGCAGTAGCAGCCATTCAAAATAGCCTTTCCCAGTCAAACTTTAGCCGAATGGCAGCCTACTCCCCTGCGACTCCCAGCAAAATCTCCTCCAACTTCCAGCCACTGGCCTTCTCCTGCGCGTGCATATTTTTTTTTCTCTGAATCCCCCCTTTCACTGAATTAAAGGGTCTGACAAGGAGATTACGCTTCTCTTTGGATCTTAATGTCCACAAATCATGGCAGAAATAATGCTTCAGTAGAAGACTGATTTTTAAAAAGGAATTATAGAGGACCAGCCGAGGGCCCATCAAGAAAAGGGGGGAAATTTCAAATGGCTACTACTGTATAAAGGAAAACTAAAGAGGATTGAAGGGGTATAGCGGTAGAAGCCAGCTTGGCAAGCAGAGAACTGAAGGTGTGGAGAAGTCGTGGCTTGCTGAGAGGAGTACAGTTGTACATCTGAAAAAACCCACCAAGAAGACATCCATCCATCCATTTTCTAACACGATTACTCCCAAGTGGGGTCACAAGGGGTGCTGGTGCCTAACTCTAGCTGTCAATGGGCGACAGGTGGGGTATTTTTGGACTGTGGGAGGAAGCTGGAGTACCCGGAGAGAACCCACGCATGCTCAGGGAGAACATGCAAACTCCATGCAGAAAGACCCCTGGCCAGGAATCGAACCCAGAACCTTCTTGCTGCAAGGCAGCAGTGCTACCCAGACTTACTCTTTAATTTCAAATTAGAAAAAGGTCATGTCCCAGCTGCCTCCATTACTCTAAGTCACAGCCATATCTAGTGTCTGACTGAATTTAGCAACATAAATTTAGATAAAAGTGTGTGAATGTACACACAAATTCACACACCAATTGCAGCAAGTTACAGTGTAACCACAGCTGTCCTGGGGTACACTGACAGAAGCATGGTTGCTGTACAGTAGTTGCCTGTGGCTCTTCTAACCATTATTGTAATGACGCAGATGAACCAACGTGCTTTGTATCTATTCAGTTCTTTCTCCCCTCTAGTCAGTAATGCTGCCAAGAAAAAAAATGCATCTTATTACAATCTTTAGTCACTGTCTTAGTGACCAGGACAGGAGTTTCAGGACATCTGTAGGAGGAGGAGTTTGTTAAACTTGTTCATTAAATCGCTCTGAAATCATTTGACAGTCTTTCATTGCTTGCTATGAAACTGAGTCAAATGCCGAAAGCTTTAGGCTTCACAGATCACAGTAAAGGTTTTTTCTCCACTTGTTCTCCTCTGTGACAGAACTCTCCTTCCTGTGAAAGCTTTGTATTGAACCATACCTAACCAACCAAAACGATATATTTTGGCAGTGTTCCCAAAAAGAGATTCTCCTAAATATGTTTTTACATTCACGCATGAAAGCGGGTAGAGGGCATTTTCTCTATTTTACGGTTGAGGCATGCCCAAGCCCGATGGCCGGGGACACTGAAACCTTTTCCACAAGCTAAAAAAAACGGCAAGAATTTTTAGTTGAAAGGTTGAATCACAAGCTCTTATGGCATAGAACATGTTGCTGGCCTTGATTAGTTTAACCCTCTTATCTGCAGAATTCAAGGGGAATCTTTCACAGAAAAAATAAATATCTACGTCAAGTGGGCCCATCAGATAAGGCTCTCTCTAATTAGTTGTAAAAGAAGCACTCTGATTCATCCCTCTGTTCGGACCATTATTCACAACAATTAAGTCTATAGCTCTTGACATGTCTTTATTAAAGAAACCTACACTGAATTTACTCTTTAACGTGTCCTTTGAGTTTAGAAGAGTTTCAATCATTGCTCTCTACGGGTCAGTCACGCTCAACTGTGAAATTATTCTGCCTCCCAGAATAACTTTGCATTGACTGAACATTGTATTCAACGGGTAATCTGTGAGTCTGACTACCGTATCTTTTGCCAGGTTGCCTTCATCTACGTTCATGATCTTCAGAAGGACGTGCAGCAAATTGTTGTTCAAATCCAGGTATTTTTGTCGATTTCCAGAAATAAAAAACTTGATAAGGCCAGTGTCAGTGTAGATATATTAGTTGTATTGGTTGATATTTGAGAACAATCTATTCTTATAAAATTCAAGTAGGGCATAGGCAAACAAAACAAGCCTTTAATTAAAAAAAATTGTACTGGCAAGAATTTTAAACTACTTAAATTCCTACTCTTATTGCCATTTGAATGTAAATGTTTCACAAAATAAAACTTACTCTGGACTGGTCAGTGGTGGCGGAAAGACAACCTCCTCTTTGGGGTTGCTCCTCTCTCCTTGCTATCAATCAATCAATCTATCTTTATTGTCAACTACAATTTGCATTGTAATTCAGATTACACTTTCAGTACAAACCATTTTTCACATACAGAGGGGGAGGTGGACAGGGGAATGATTGACTGAGACCATGCGTGCCAAAGAGCTGTCATTTTGGCTGCTAAGGACCCCACTTTGAGGCAGTTCTCTTATGGCAGGGGTAACCAATAAAAATCAGCTGGGTCTGGATAAAGAAAATCATCAACCTGTCATGATTAGAGAAGAACGACTCTAAATCAGGGCAACCACGGAGACAGTTTG